CTGTATGGTCTTAAACACCCAAAAGGAAAGTATAACCAAAGAGTAAATTCATCAGTATATTTCTTTAAGAGTTCAAGGGATGACACTTCCCAGACATTAGGCTTAAGTCTATACAAAAAGTTATTTAGACAATTACTTCTATTAATGCCTTTGTTCCTAACCAGAAAGTGCTGCTTAGATGTAAGATTTCAAATCTTGGTCTCCAATACTGTAGAGCCCACCTGTAGCTAAGGGAGAGAACCAGCTATTGTTCTAAAATGATGGATAAATTTGTTTTCTCCCCCTATCTAGAAGCTTTTGAAAGGGAACTGACATTGGTTCTAACCACTCCAATGGCTATCAAAATACCTGAAAGCAAATCCTGAATCCATCACTCTAGAGTCCAGCCTTGGAAGAGAAAAGAAAAATGAGGAGGAACCCAACAGAGGGATGCTTTTGGAAGCCCTTGTCAAGAAATTCCAATGGACTCTCATATGAACATTTGAAAATTTCCCCTGTTTTGACTTTTTTTCTAGTTCCCTGTCTAGAGCTTGTAATGCTAATTACTCTTGCCTTTACTTCTCCTTCACATCTCCTATTCACAGTTCAAAGACTTTCTTTTTCTCCTCAAGATAAGAGTTGGGCAATCTGGGAGTCTTCTAGATAGACCACTTAAGGAGTACTCCAATTGCCTCACCATATATCCCAGTTCATCATGGCAGAAGCCAGAGCAGTCTGCATCCTGATTCCTCATTGACAATTTGGGTAATCTCTTCAGAGGATGGTGTGATAAGAATAGGAGATGGTAATTTGCTAGTCAGTTAAGTTAAAAAGACCCCGAAGAAAAGTAGCCAGTTTCTTGGCTAATACTCACAATGTCCTTGGGCCTTTCAGCAACATACTCTGTTCCAAAGGCCAAAACTGTTGAAAATATTTGGGAGCTTGACTCTAATCCTTAAAAGATTTTAGGGTTACCTCTTCAGAGGGGGGAATGTTAGAGTAGCATAAAGCCCCATAAAAAAATAAATAAATCAAAGAAGAAGAAAGGGTACATGAAGTTATCAGAAAAAAGTGATGGGGAGATATGAGAAGAGTTGGAGGGGAGGGAGTGGGCATGGGTTTCATCAAAACACATTATATGCATGTATGAAATTCTCAATAAATTATTTATTTAAAAAAAAAGAAAATAAAAAGTCATTTTCCTTTATATTTGATGTTCTCCTGAAGGGGTTGACAATAAAGGTATTCAAAATGGAGTAACTGGCTAACAACAGTCACCAGGGGAAGAGCTCAGAGACAGAGAGCCATCACAGAAGGCTGGAGGCCAGGGGTCCAGGTCCCAAAGCCAGACAAGTAAACAAATAAAACAGAATAGTTCTATTCTCACCTTCTGTTTTTTTGGCAACCCAGGTGTTTATGTATTTTCGGGCCTGCTCTGAAGCTCCAATAAAGTCCAGCTCTTCCATCTCTGCTTGGTAGAATTTGCAGCAGCAATCTTTAAAAGACTAAGACAGAGTAACATAATTACGCAGCTATGAAAGTCATTAATGCCAACAACTTCTATTTTAACGCACCACAGCAGAAAAGCAAAGTTAAGTGATGTATACATGATATTTACAATAAAAAAGGAGGGGAATGGTTTAAGATGAACCTTACTGTATTCAGTTTTCTTTAATTGTTTGGTTTTTGAATGAGGGAAGATGGAGTCTAATATCAATCAAACACCACAAACTGCTGGATCCTTGAGGGAGTATCTATGGCCCAAGGAGGTACTTGGGGAGACCCTTAGATGCAGTAACTGTAGGGTGTGACACTCTGCAAATCCAGCACAAGGGCAGAGTGGGTGTTAACTCCGCAAGAGTTAGGACCCCTCTGCACTGTGCAGCATGGAACACAGAATGCAGGAAAATAACTCTTGGCTAGCTCTTCCACACAGCTTCTTATAATGACAGAAACATAAATTGGCAACACTCAAAGCCACGCCACAATGCACCTGAATATGGCCAGTGAGACTAGGAAACAGAATATCTTATTTTATTTTACCTGATGACTTGGAATTATATTGAGTATGTATCTATGGTTACCATGCTGATAGCTCAGTGTCTGGAGCTTTCTTTCATGGAGATCAACTCATAAAACAGAAGTCAGGGCTAGGCATGTAGTCTGGTGTACAACTTAATGGTAGAGTTCCTGCCTGGATTCAGAAAGCCTGGATTTGATCACTAGCACCACAAAAAAAAATACTCAAAAAATTTTCTTAGCATATCTATGAAATGACGATATTGATAATCACCCACATTCTGCCATATTAAAACTTGATGCCACATTAATGCCCTGAAATCACACATTATGTTGGAAGTACTTCTCAGTCTCCCTTTTGAACAGTTCATGGCTACATATTTAATTCTGTTTTTGTTTGTTTAAATTTTTTATTGAGCTTTTTAAATTTCATATGTTTCCAATTCAAATCCAGACCCCCTTCCCCATCCATGCCTTACCCCATTCCCCCACCAAACCCTATGCACTCTGCCATACATGCTGAGTCCTATTCATTCAGATGTTTGTACCCAAATGTCCTTCAGTATAAATGTGTCTACTGGAGGCTAGTCAGCCCATCCCGTGGTCATACATAAATCATACTCTCCCTAACCCAGCATCCATCAGTCTCAAACAGCACTCAATCTAGTACTGGTATGCCACCTATTTCTCACCTTCCCTTTGGGCCCTTGTTTCATTGAGCTAACATGGGGGATGGGTCCCATGCTTGATGCCACCACTGCCACAGGCTCACATGAGCAAGCCTTCAGTGGTCTGGAGGCCTCCACCTCCCTGTGTTCATGAACCACCCCTGCTTCTTACAACCTTTCCACCTCCTCCTCTACAATGGTCCCTGAGCTGTGGGTGGATGAGGCTCCATATAGGAGTCCCACCCAACACTCTACAGTCTCTTATTCTCCAAAACTTAGCCAGTTGTGGCCTTCTGTTGCTTCTGTGTACATGGAAGCCTCACTGGTGAGAGTTGAGGGGTGCATTAGCATCTCTACCCCTTATTCTGCCATGTTCCATGAACCTTAGTTGCAGAGATTCAAGTGCAGATGTATCCCCTAGTACTGGGCATCTCCCAGGCATATGTTCTCTGTGCCTGACCAGATATGCAACTCTGCAGTAGCCTCCATCTATTGCAAAAAGAAGCTTCTTTGATGAGTGCTATATGGCATGCCTGCCCCTCTAAGTGAGGTCTCTTCTACCTGGCACGGCATTCCCTGTCAAACAGCTCCCAGGTACACATATGCATCGATGTTCAGACACTCTATGTGCATTTCTCATAGGGTTTCTAGGGCATCACTTTTCCCTCTAGGTTTCCTAGTCCCTGAGATTCACTCATCTCCACTCTTTTCTCCCATCCATCTTCCCTCCTCCTTCCCTCCCTAGTCACAGTGCCCCCATTATCCCCACTCTCCCCGCAATACCTCCCAACTCTGGCCATCTTTCCTCTCCTGACTTCCTTCCCTCCCCCATACCATGGTCCCTTGCATGCCCCTCCCTCCTCTCCTCCCTGCCTAGTACTCCCACTTTTTCCACCTCCCGCAGGTAACATCTGTTCCCTAATATCCACCTTTTAGGTTGTGGGTTTTTTTGTTTTTTTTTCCTTTACTTCCATGTATCCTTCCCCTTTACCTGGCTCCTGGTGTTACATCTGAATTTATATACTCACATATAAGGGACTGGTGCTACAATCCACAAATGAAGGAGAATATATGCCGCTTGCTTTTGTGTGTTTGTTACTTCACTTGGTCTAACACTCTCTAGCTCCACCCATTTACCTGAAAATTTCATAATATCGTCTTTTCTACTGCTGAGTAGAACTCCATTGTGTAGATGTACCACATTTTCATTAACCATTCATCAGCTGAGAGACATTTAGGTTGTTTCCATTTCTCAGCAATTGTGAAGAGAGCAGCAACAAACATGGATGTACAGGTATCTCTACAGTATGATGAGTCATTTGAGTATATGCTAACGAGTGGTAACACCAGATCATATGATAGGTTCGTTTTTAGTTATCTGTGGGTTCTCCACACTGCTTTCCATAGTGCTTGCATTCCCACAAGCAGTGAGTGAGCGTTCCTCTTTCTCCACATCCTCCCCAGCATTTGTAGTCTTTCATTCTCTTGATCTTTGCTGATCTGACTGGGGTAAGATGGACTCTTAAAGTGGTTTTTATCTGCATTTCTCTAATTACTAAGGGTGTTGATCACTTTTTAAGGTGCTTCTTAGCCGTTTTTATTTCTTCATTTGAGAACTCTGTTTAGGTCTATCGCCATCTTTTTGTTGGGTCTTTTATTTTCTTATTCCTTTCTTTTCTGAGGTCTTTGTATATTCTGGATATTAATCCACTGTCAGATGTGTAGATGGTGAAGCTTTTCTCCCACTCAGTGGGCTTCCTCTTCCCTTCTTCAGTTGTTTCTTTTGCTGTACAGAAACTTTGTAATTTAATGAGGTCCACTTACTGATTGTTGACCTTAGTGCCTGAGCAGCTGGTGTCTGATTTAGAAAGTCCTTTCCTATGCCTATATCTTGGAGGGTGCTGCCTGTTTTCTTCCAGCAGTTTCTGAGTTTCAGGTTTTATATTGAGGTCTTTGATCCATTTGGAGTTGACTTGTACATGGTGAAATACAAGTGTTAAGTTTCATTTTTCTGCAGGTGGAGTTCGTTTTGCCAGCACCATTTATTGAAGATGCTATATTTCCTCCATTGTGTGTTTTTAGAGCTTTTGTCAAATATCAGGGGACTCAAATTATATAAACTCATGTTTGGGTCTTCTATTGTGTTCCATTGATCTATATGTCTATTTTAGTATGAGTACCATGCTGTTTTTATGACTATAGCTCTGTAATATAATTTGAGATCTGGTATGGTGATTCCCCCCAGCATTATTCTTTTTGCCCAAGATTATTTTGGTTATCTGGGGTCTTTGTGAGTCCATATGAATTTTAGAATGATTTTGTCACCCTCTGTGAAGAACGTCATTGGTATTTTGATTGGGATTGCACTGAATCTATAAATTGCTTTTGGTAAGATAGTCATCTTCACAATATTGATTCTACTACCAATCTATAAGCATGGTAGGTCTTTCCATCTCCTAGTGTCTTCCTCTATCTCTAGATTTTAAAATTGTTCATTGTAGAGATTTAATGACTTTGGTTAGGTTTATTTCTAGTATTTTAATTTTTTAAGGCTATTGAGAATGGGAGGGTTTCCTCAAGTGCTTTTTCTGATTGCCTGTTATTAGTATATAAAAAGGCTACTGATTTTTCTAAGTTGATTTTGTATCCTGGCACTTTACTGAAAGTATTAATTCTAATGGTTTGCTAGTGGAATTTTTGGGATTTCTTATGTATAATATCATATCATCTGAAAATAGGAATAGTTTGATCTCTTCTTTGGGACTCCTTTAATTTCCTTCTCTTGTTTTATTGCTCTTGCAAGAGTTTCAAGCACTATATTGAAAAAGAGTGAATAATGGACAGTCCTGTCTGGTTCCTGATTTTAATAATTCTTTTGGGAGAACTATTTTTTACAAAACAAGATTTTACATACCTCCAAAGATGTGAGAAGGAAGTAGCCATGTCTGAACCTCAGATCACCACAATGACTCAGAGTATCAAAGTACTTCAGAGCATGAAAATACCTCAGAGCATCACATCACAGTACCTCAGAGCTTTACTGTGAGATCCAAAGGGACTATTTTCATGATCACTGGTTTACATAACATCACAATTTCTTAGTGTGATGCAGGCCTTGTAAAAATGTACTTCACAGATCATTTTATTTAGTCCTAACATAGTTGGAGCTTGGCCATTTTCATTTCTCTATTTTTGCAAAAAAATTAAATCTTTCAGCCTAAGAAAATAAAGTAAGTAAACACATCACACATACATAGATAACTTGTCACAACTCTAAGTGACTTTGACAACTTTGACACACTCAGAAAAATAATTTATCTATTTAAGTTATCATGTTATAAGCAAAATCTAATCAAACCAAAAGAAAATATGTGATTATATACTGTGGTTGATATTCAGAGTCTTGAAATGCTAAATCAGTAAGAAACAACACATTATTTTTAATCTTTTTTATCCAAATATCAAAGTAGCATTTTAAATACCAATAATTTTCTTAAAATATTCATTAAAACTAAAGAAAAAGGATACTTTTAATCCTACATGTCTGAAAGACAAAGGCCAGCCTGATCTACATAGTGATTCTAGGCCAGCTGGGGCTACAGGACAGCCTGTCTCAAAAAAAAAAAAAAACTCAGAAAATAAAAATAAAGAAAAATATTCTTTTGTGTTTTCTTCCTTTGCTTATATATAAGCTTTTAAAAACTTAAACTAGAAAGTAGGTAAGACTGACAAAATAACTAAAATATGGTATAAAAAAACTCACTGACATCCACATCTGACTTTACACTTAGCATTTACTCTGCGTTACTTCACTGCATAACACTTAATGAAAAGCCTAAAATAAGTTTAAAAGCTGATGACAAAAATCATGAAAATAATGAGGTTTGTTTCCCAAACACTTCACGAATCCTTTATAAAGCAATGAAAAAAATTAATATAACCTAACAGAAAAAAATATCCAGAGAATACACAAACAAACAGTTCACAGAAAACAAATGCAGGTTGAGTGTCCTTTA